GGTGTACATGAATCGGGATACTACTGTATGTACAAGCAATATGTACAAGCAAACCTGTTTAATGGCCCGGGAGCTAAAGGTTATACAATTTGTGTTCACTTTTTGTAGAAAATATATCAATAATTCAAACAGAAGTCTATATTCGAGACGTTATTATTGTTTGAATTGAAAACTCAATCAAAAAGTGATTGACTTTTGTATCAGATTTTTAAATCCAAATTTTGAATCAAACGTTTCGTTTAATCACTTCATTTGATCCCAAGATATGGAGCGAGAGTTGACACAAATGATGGCATCACTCGAGACCACAGATGGCTGTGAAGACAGACAACAGGTTTTTGTTAAGCAATCGATTGTTTATTGAATTTAATTTTAATTGTTTTTGTCTCACATTTAGCCGAAGATTTACGCGAAGAACTCAATGGACAGATTCGGTGATGATTTGTGTCAACTTTTGTTGTCTTACCTGTCATTCGAAGATCGGTTTCGATGCGAATGTGTGTCCAAACAGTTCCGGAGGACAGTCTTCGGGAGTGTTGTCTGCATTGAAATCAACGATCGATTTATGCAACAAATGCTCAAAACAACACTCATTGAAACGTTGGCCACAATTGCTATAAAGTGTCCGAACATTGAAACCATTGACTGTCGAGGAATAGAGACTGAGAAGATTAGAGAACACATTCCCGAAGTGTTGGCCATATTTCGAGACAATTGTCTTAATTTGCGTGAAATTTACTGCCATTTATGGCAAAATAGGGGACAAACAATGCCTACAATCGGACCACTGGTCACACGAATCGAAGTTATGGACCATAATATCGATACTCAATCACTCACTCATTGCCACCGATTGTCTCATTTAAGTGTCCGTCATTTGAGTCAAGTCTTTTACACTTCCGGACAACTAATGGCAAAGAATTTGAATACATTTGAGTTATTTAACTATTCATATGAGGATTACCACCGATTGTCTGCATTTGTGTCACGCAATCAGTCCCTCAAATGTGTTGGCTTTTATGAGAACAGGCGTCCATCTGAAGAGACACTGACCGGACTGTCAGCACAGTTGTCACGATTACCACAATTACGGCGATTGACACTCAGTATTGAGATACCGGTCGCTCACGACTTATTGGCCGACTCTTTGCGCACAATTGGCATGAATTGCAAACAATTAGAGCGATTGAAACTCCATTTGTCGCACACCGATAGCCATGTATTCAATCGCAAGACATTGGATTCGTTGCGATTTTGTCACCGATTAAAACGACTTGAGTTACGCATAGATGCGACCGACGATGAGATAGTGTTGGATCCGTTGCGACACTGCAAGCGATTAACGCATTTAGAGTTGGATTTCTTTAATATGACAGCAAATGTGTTGAAGGATTTGCACATCAATTGTCCGCGACTTCAATACCTATTCATTCATGACTTCCATAGCATTATAGACGCCGAGTGTTTGTCTCACATCTCAAGACTACCGGCGCTGCAAACGCTTGTCATAGACTTCTACAACAACTTTAATGGTCTCCGGAGTAATGATTTCAATGATCTGTTGTCCAGAAGTCCTAAACTAAAGAACATTCAAACAATTCAATGCTATGTCTGTAAATATTATTGCCGTCAAAACAATTGATCCATTAATTGCTAATTAAATTTAATTTCTTTCTGTTCTTAACATTGATTTGTATTTAAATGACTAATTATTTCAAAATTTTTCAATTTATTCATAAAATAAAAATTTGATTCAATTATAACACAAAAAAATTTTAAAATCCTATTCGACGTCTCATTTATTAATTTAATTTAAATACCAATTCGTTTGTAATAATAACGAGTGTTGACTGTATTGTAATAAAATAGTTTATCAAACAATTTGAACAACAGTTGAATACAAAGTGTACTCTTATTATACGGACTGTTATATAGTTTTGTTATACAATTTGTGTTCACTTTTTGTAGAAAACTTTCCAATAATTCAAACACAAGTCTATATTCGAGACGTAATTAGTGTTTGATTTAAAAAGTGAATCAAAAAGTGATTGACTTTTGTATCGGATTTTAAATTCAAATTTTGAATCAAACGTTTCGTTCAATCACTTCATTTGATCCCAAGATATGGCCCAACAGTTGACACAAATGATGGCATCACTCGAGACCACAGATGGCTGTGAAGACAGACAACAGGTATTTGTTAAGCAATCGTTTGTTTATTCAATTTTAATTGTTTTTGTCTCACATTTTAGGCGAAGATTTACGCGAAGAACTCAATGGACAGATTCGGTGATGATTTGTGTGCACTTCTATTGTCTTACCTGTCATTCGAAGATCGGGTTCGATGTGAATGTGTGTCCAAACAGTTCCGGAGGACAGTCTTCGGGAGTGTTGTCCGCATTGATATCAACGACAGATTGATTGAACAAATGCTCAAAACAACACTCATTGAAACGTTGGCCACAATTGCTATAAAGTGTCCGAACATTGAAACCATTGACTGCCGAGGAATGTGGAGTAAGAAGATTAGAGAACACATTCCCGAAGTGTTGGCCATATTTCGAGACAATTGTCACCATTTGCGACACATTTACACCAATTTATGGCAAAATAGCGGACAAACAATGCCTACAATCGGACCACTGGTCACACGAATCGATGTCACCAACGATTATATCGACACTCAATCGCTTACTCATTGCCACCGATTATCTCATTTAAGAGTCAATACTATAGACCAAGTCTTCGACACTTCCGGACAACTATTGGCACAAAATTTGCATAAATTTGAGTTAAATTGCTGTTCAGACAATTATTACCACCGATTGTCTGCATTCGTGGCACACAATCTGTCCCTCAAATGTCTTGACATCAGTTACCATAAGTCCGAGACTCGCGACTCACTGATGGAAATATGCGGACAATTGTCACAATTAACACAATTACGCGAATTGAATCTCGTTTTGGAGATAATCGGCGGACAGAACTTATTGACCGACTCTTTGCGCACAATTGGCGTGAATTGCAAACAATTGAAACGATTGTCGCTTCACTTCTACGCCGATAGCACTCAATGCAAACGCCAGATATTGGATTCGTTGCGATATTACCGGCGATTAAAACGCTTGCGTTTAACAAAATTTCATATGCTTTTAGCACACATTCATCTCTCGTTGGATTCGTTGAGTGATTGCAAGAGATTAACGCATTTAGAGATGAATTTGATGGGAATGGACGCCAAAGTACTGATCGATTGCCATAAACACTGCCCACGTCTTCAGTATCTATGGATTGATGGCAACCAAAACATAGACACCGAGTGTTTGTCTCACATCTCAAGACTACCAGCGCTGCAAACACTTGTGTTTCACTTCATTGGATTCAATGGTCTCTCGGATATTGATTTCAATGATCTGTTGTCGCGAAGCCCTAAACTAAAGACCATTGAAATCAATGGAAACAATATCTGCAAGTTTTATGTAAATTCAAAATAATATCACTTTATGTACTTTCAATCAAATATACTTTTATTTATTCATCAATGTAATTCATTTAATTAATTAGTTATACAGTATAAATAATAAACTACATTGTTGCAATGATTTTAAATGTTGTTAAATATAGAATGCTATACTTTGTCAAATAATAAATACAATAATTATTTAAGTCTATTTATAATGGTGGAATTGATGCGTGCGATAGATCCATAAGCAACACCTGAAGGTTCTTTTGTTTAGCCTGTTCCGATGGCAATTCCGAAATGGCCTTGTATAGTTTAGGGAATTCATCAGTTAAAAACTCCCTAATCTAATTGATTTGCAACAATTATTAAATACAGAATATTTGGGAAGTTATAAAATAAATATTTAATTAGTGAATACATAGCAACAAAAAAGTTGCTATAACTTATTCTAAAATGTATTTAAATTGTATTTACCCTGGCGTGAAATGTTGTCCAGACTGGATGGGAAGCGTTGGTCATTTCATCATTCAGCGAATAAAATATAAAACTCTCCATGGCCTTAATTCTACCAAGTAAATTCTCAGACGACCCTGTTATATTCAATGGGGTTGTCAAACGGATTTTGTCCAACCGTTTGCTCATATAATTAAAGCCGTGGACTTCGCCAATGAATTGTGCGGTCACTCGTTCTCTATCATTCTCGTTGGCCACGGCTTTAAATTGCTGAAACACCCATGGTAATGTTTCTATGACAAACACCTTGACATCATCGTACAACATGATCGGTATAGTTAAACCCTCTTTCTCGTATCGTTTAATGGCCGCATCCATTATCTGTCCAACAGGTATAACCAAATTCAATGTTGTCAGTTGGACGGCATCGGTGTTGGCCTGTTCTCCGTAGTCAATGGTATTGTCCTGAATCGCTGTTACGATAATAAATTTTATTTAAAATAAATCAAGTTTATAAATATTCTTATTATTATACCTTGGACACTGATCATACACATGACAAGTAAAGTTGTGATAATTATTTTCATTTTTGCAAAATAAAACTTGGTAGCGTTGGAACCTAAGTGTTATGATTAAAGTCTGTGTGAAAATAAGATGTTTATATACTTTCATGTTTGTCATACTGTTTATTATTGATTAAAATTTTAATAATAATTATTAAAATTAATGAGAATGAACACGGCGATTTAAATATTTGCACTTGTCAAGTATGTTTGATTGTACTAACTAATTGTTAGGATGTAAGCATGGCACAATATTATTTAACTTAACAATCATAATTGGTAAATTCCCTCTCATTTTAATGATGCTAACAACTTTATTTAATAAACAACAATTACATAATTACTGTGATTAAAAGCACAATAATCATTGTTTTATGCAAATAGAGATTTAATTGAATAAAATTGATTTATATCATACATAACATGTATTTATCAATACCATTTTAATATCTCCCATGCTCAAGCAATAATGTTTGCACCAATAACAATTTAATTGGTTTTTTGACAAGTGCATAAACATTTGGTCGCTCAGGTGCATGCAAATATTTTATTATCAATATATTTAGAGGCAAGGTTTTAAATATTTAAAATACAAATAAATATAAAATAAACTTAATGATTGTATAAATACTAGTGTTTGTTCAAAAACCTATCCAGTTAATAATAATTTTAGAACTTGCAAATTAATATTCGAAACACTAACCTATTTAATAAATATAACAATGTGTTCTGCTAAAATTCATACTGTATTTATTTCTATTATATTTGTTATAACATTAGCTCATGGTAAGTTTGAATAAACTATTAAAGATTTGTGTTTTTAATATCAGTGATATTATATTATATCACTAATAATTAACCACTATTTACAGTGCATGGTATGCAAGATCTCCCACCCGTCGACTTCCCGCACGTATTTAATGAACAGATTCACGTCAAAGACTTAGAGATGTACGCCAATAGTCTGGGCGATGAAGCGCAGGGCTACTTACTACCCGTAATTGATCATGATAAAAAACAGGGTTTGACCGTGGTCGCACAGTTCTACCAAGATTTTATCGATGCTCTCAAACCTATCGTTCCGACAGTATTTAAGGGTTTGGAAAATATTCAAAATCCGGTGGAGCAACACACAGTGACCACAGTTGTGATTGGTCAGTTGTATGATTTCACATATATGATGCAACACGTGTCCGAACTGCGAGCCGTTAAGTCCCTGTCGGTCACCGGCAATGAGCACAACCTTATGAACCGTTTGAAGGCATTGGAGAGTCGAGTGTTGGCCGCCGTCGAGAAGTCAAAGGTGACGGGACTACGAATGTTACGCAATCACCCGGTTTTGAATGCCTGGTATGATCAGGTGAGTTGTTCGGGTTTTATTTACATTAATATTTTTGTTGAATGATATTTGAAAATTTAATTAATATGAAATATTTAACTTATTTCAGCTCATTGCCCTTTTAACTCCTGAATTTAACAAAATTAATCAAGCAATCCGTAATTTACCCTCAGCTGCACTCAGACAACAAAATTTACAACAACTAATTCAAGATCTGACACATTTGACTCAAATGCCCTTTATACTATAATCCTAAAGAGGCAAATATAAAATCTAAATTAATTCATCTGTTAAATGTAATAAAATTATTTGTTATAAATTATCAAATAAAATTTGTAATTTTTATTATATTCCTATTATCCAATTATAAGGTACATTAATATTTTTATTTTTAATGCAATATTTATCGTGGTTATTTTACAGGATTGTATTTTTGTGAACTAACTTATAAATTATAAATACCGGTAATTTGTTTTTATATAAACAAAATTACTATATTATTAAATACACAAAATTTAATTCATCACATTTAAGATTAGTAATTTCACACAGAATGTTTAGTATTTCATCACCCAAGTTAAATAGTTTAATTTAATAAGCGTATACAACACAAGGGCCAACAATAATAATTGATTTAATTACACTTCATAATATTTTCAAATAACTTATCTGTAATGTCTAATTCAAATTGCATAAAAGTATTTTATAATAAAATATGATCATGACAGCGAGTTTAATTATTATTATCTTAATTAAAGATGTATGATAATGCACAATTAACTGCACATTACAACTTATAGGTGGTAATATAGTTAATGTTGGCCAAAATAAAATAAAAATCCAACTGATTTCACGAGACATTACTAGAAACTTGTACCGAGAAATAAGTTTAGTGCTTTCTGTTTGCGCGACCAGCCTGCACTTTTTTGTTATATCTTATCGCGATTCAAAATCACTGTTAATTCTGGGTTCACTAATTATTTTAACATTCAGTGTAGCTGTTTGTATGTGCACCGGGACATAACACGCATGTTCATCCCACACCACTCTGAATGATGTTATTCAAGGCTAGAAAATTACATTAAATTAAGTTGGAGTACACTTTTCACACATTTTTAAAAGTATATAAATATTTTTCTAACTTGTTTTAGAACCATAATAGACTTTATAACAAGTTAAGTTGTTTTTGCTTTGGTGATAAAATAAGTTAAGAATATTTTGCCTAAAAATAGTTATTTGTAGCTAAATAATAAAACTCACAATATTTTGTCAGTGGATATATTATTACTTCCTGTGAATTAAAAACTCCCAGTTCATACTATGGATCCTAAAATGATGGAATACTTGAGATGTAAGTATTTTGTCAGCAATTAACATACATATTATATTACCGAAAATATTATTTGTTTGATAAAATATCAAATTAATGAAATTGTAATATAATTTAAATTCATACTATTATAATTCATCTCTCTCTCTCTCTCGATCAGGTCTTATATCATGGAAAAAGTTTCCTCTATTTTATTTGTAACTTTTGTTTATAT